CCTTGGGGACCCCTGAGCCAACTGCGCCTCATCCACAGGTATGACTACAAGATAGCACGCGAGTATAATTGGAACGTGAAGAACAAGGCCAGCAAGGGCTACGAGGAGAACTACTTCTTCATCTTCCGGGAAGGCGATGGGGTATATTACAACGAACTGGAGACCAGGTACTCTCCTCTGCTCTCCGCTCAGCCTGCCCCAGGCTTCTCAGGACCCAGGGCTGGTGCGTAGTCTGGCCAGGGCAGGGAAGAACCACCCTGGGTGTCACCTCTTCCTCAGCAGTTGCCATGTCTGTTATGTGTGTGTTAATCCTGGGGCTTGAATTCAGGGTCTGGGTGCTATCCCTTAGCTTTATTTGCTCAAGGTTGGTACTCTTCCACTTAAGCCACAGCTCCACTTCTGGGATTTTGGTGCTTCACTGGAGAAAAGTCTCACACTTTTCTGCCCATGCTGGCTTTGAACTGTGATCCTCATATCTCAGCCTCTTAAGTAGCTAGGATGACAAGTATGAGCTACTGGTGTCTAGCTGCAGTGTCTGTGAGAGCAGCTGGTGTGCATTTCATGAGCATGGGCTGGGCCTGGCTAAATGGGAGGCCAGGATGAAAATCTTCAGGTAACGTAGAAACCTTTAATACTTTTGTGTGGGCGCATACCTGCTTTCCCTCGTACTAATGCAGGCAACATATAAAATTAGATGTGTTTTAAGGCAAAACACTGGATACCCAACTTTAAAAATGTGACCCACACTCCTCTGAGGGCTGAAAGTTATCTGCTGTATTGGGGCCCTTGGTGTAAAAGCTGGCAAGTGTGACTTGAACTTGTTTAGAGATCAAAAGCTAGGCACTGGTGAGTTACACCTGTCATCCTAGCTACTCAGGAGGCTGAGATCTGAGAATCAAAGCCAGCCTGGGCAGGAAAGTCCATGAGACACCTATCTCCAGTGAACCACCAGAAAACTGGAAGTTGAAGTGCTAGAATGCTAGCCTTGAACACAAAAGCTCAGGGACAGTTCAAACCCCCAGACCAAATAAACATTGCAGATTCTATTCCAACAAAGTGGGTTCTGGGGGCCCACACCCATATGGTGGTACCAACCTCCCATCTTCAGTCCATGGCCATTTGTTCTATTGAGGGTAAAAAGGTCCACTGGGGCCATAAATTCCTATTACTCAAAAGCCAGACATCCAGGGGCTGGGAAGGTGGCTCAGTGGTAGAGCGCTTGCCTTGCATGCATGAAGCCCTGAGTTCAATTCCTCACCACATAAGCAAAAAGCCGGAAGTGGCGCTGTGGCTCAAGTGGTAGAGTGCTAGCTTTCAGCTGAAGAGCTGAGGGACAGCGCCCAGGCCCAGAGTTCAGGCCCCATGACCGGAAAAAAAAAAAAAAAAGCCAGACATGCACATGTAACAGCTCCTGGTCTTTATGTGGTGGCTTCACAAGTCAACATATATGAATGAATGTGGATCGCTTATGTGTGTACACCATATATGCAGTCCTCTGTGCCTCATCCAGAGTGAGCACTGTTGAGCCCCACATCAGAACCCACCTCTCTGGCAGTGTCTAAGTGCACCCCTCACCCTCTTCCTGCAATTTGCCTACTGCAGAGTCCGACTCAGTAAACGCCGCGCCAAGGCTGGTGTCCAGTCGGGTACAAATGCTCTGCTTGTGGTCAAACACCGGGATATGAATGAGAAGGAATTAGAAGCCCAGGTAAGAGCATCACTGCCTCTTCCACCCCCTCACCCCTTGCCCCCCCCCCCCGAGGAAGGGTAGCTGTGTGGTGAGGAGGGACAGGCCTGACCAGCACACTGTCCCCCTACCCTATCCTGCTTTCAGGAGGCACGGAAGGCTCAGCTGGAAAACCACGAACCAGAAGAAGAGGAGGAGGAGGAGATGGAGGCTGAGGAGAAAGAAGCTGGGGGCTCAGGTAGAGGAGGAGCTCGTGTAGAGCGGTCCAAGCCTTGGAAAGCGAGGGAGGGTGCGGTGCTGGGTCTCACCTCTCCCTGCTCCCTTACAGATGAGGAGCAGGAGAAGGGCAGCAGCAGCGAGAAGGAGGGCAGCGAGGACGAGCGCTCGGGCAGTGAGAGTGACCGGGAGGAGGGCGACAGGGATGAAGCAAGCGACAAGAGTGGCAGCGGCGAGGAGGAGAGCAGTGAGGATGAAGCCCGGGCTGCCCGGGACAAAGAAGAGATCTTCGGCAGTGATGCGGATTCAGAGGACGATGCTGACTCTGATGAGGACAGGCCTGTCCGCGGTGGCAGTGACAATGACTCTGACAGTGGCAGTGATGGCGGTGGGCAGAGGAGCCGCAGCCCTAGCCGCAGCCGCAGCGCCAGCCCCTTCCCCAGTGGCAGTGAGCACTCGGCCCAGGAGGGCAGTGAAGCCCCAGCTTCTGATTCCAGTGAGGCTGAGAGCGACAGTGACTGAGCCCCAGGGCCTTCTTAGGGCAAGAAGGCACTTTTCTAGTGGTGTTGGGGAGCCCTTCACCCTGCTCAGCCCCAACCCATTTGCTGTTAATAAAAGGCTACTTCTCCACTTGCCAGGGCCCTCTGGTGCCAACTCCCCCCCCACCCCCCGCAAGCCATACTGACGTGTTCAAGGACCCCAGCTTGAGTCACGGAAGCAAGGCCACTGGGTTCCCCATGAAATGGCACATAACAAAGGTCAGAATCCTTTTGTTTCAATTTTTTTTTTCTCCAAAATAAGCCCAGACCATTAAACAATTGAAACTCCAACAAATAAGTCTTCTCTAACAGCGAGAAAAACTGTAGTTACTCAAAGCTGATTCTGCCAGTGGGACTGGGGACAGTGGGGGGGGGGTAGGGTGAGACCATGGAGGGCCTGGGGGGGTGGGGGAGATGGCAGGAGGGAAGGGTCCTGCCCATCAGAGTGGGGCCGCCTGCGTCCTGCACTCTGCTGTCAGGCGTGGGGGGGAGGGGGGCAGCTCTCACCTCCCTCCAAGGGGGAGGGGATCCCTCACCAACTCCCAGTGCCAGGCAGTGAAGTCACCCTCAGAGGGGGGACTGGCTAGGGGAAGGTGAGGGTCCCGGGGAGGGACACCCAGCTGACTCCAAACTAGAGGCCTACTGCCCCCATCCCTGGCTAGAGGGAGGGGCTGGAGAAGCCAGGTGAGGGGAATGGGCCAAGGCACAGCAACCTGGAGGGCCGGGGCGGGAACTTGCATAGGTTGATGAGTGTGCAAGAGGTACATAAATACACCTGACACCCCGCCCAGCCCGGCACTGGGAGAGGAGGTGGGGAACAGAGGTGGGTCCCCAGGACCACCCTAGCCCCCTGGCTTCTTCCCCCTCCCTAGGCTCGGTGGACAGGAGGTCCACAGAGCAGGAGGCTGGGGCAGGAAGGCTGGGGACGGGCTGAAGTGCAGGGAGGGTGGTGGTTTTCAAGGGGGTTTTTGTTGGTTCTTTTTTTTTTTTTTTTGGTTTTTTTTTTTCCCCAACATTTTGTATCTTTAATAACATACACAATGGTTACCAGCCATATTCATAACAAAAGTTATTCATAAAATGTATCTAAAAATAACATTTTTTTTCCTTTTCGATGTGAAAAGCTTGAGAATGTCCCAGTGAGTGGGGGTGGGTTGAGAGGGGAGAGGAGGTTAAAATAGGGGGACTTGGCTTCCCCACTGTCTGAACCCCCAACCCCCCTCCCTCCACCTGGGCCCCAGCACAAGCCCTCATCAGGAACTGGGACCAGAGGGGCTGTGTGACTCAAGCTGGGACGCACCTCTGGGTTTGGATATAGTGTTCCGCTTACATGAGGTCATGACAATGGGGGAGGGGCGAGGCTGAAAGAGAGGGGACAGGGAGAAAAACAAACAGAAGAACAATCCCCTTTCCTGTATTCCTGACCTCCAAGTCCTTTGCCACCAGACCCAGGAGCGGAGACAGTGTGTTGGTGGGGGAAGGGGACATTAAGGCAACAGACTTCCAGCCTCCCCGCTGCCTGGCTGCCCGCCTTCATCCTCCGCATCTGGGAGCCAGGGCTGGGGAGTAAGGAGGGCGAGGGGGTCTGGAGGAGGGGGCGCTGCCCTCTCCTCTTATAAAGTTCAGGCTCCCCCTGCCACTGTCTTGGCTCAGAGAGAGGCCTGGGGATTCTAAAAATGATAGGGAATGATCAGAGAGAAAAACCATTAAGAACTATATAAATATGCATCTTAAATAGGCCTAAGAAATTAATTGTAGAGAACCTCTGACAAACACGGTGAGAGGTGAGAAGGCGGCTCCTGTCCTGGGGGAATGTTGGAGGGGAAGGCATTGGGGAGGAGAGAGAGGCTCCACTCCTCGCCCTCCTTTTCTCCCCAGCTCCTCCAGTGACTTCCTGGCTGGCTTGCCCTCCCCCATGGTGAGGTTCAGAGCAGATTCACAAGGTGGCAGTCAGTCTATCATCAGGGAGTCTGCCCTACTGCAGGGGCAGTGCTCAGCAGTCTGGAGGAGGCAGGGGTGGGGTTGGGCCAGGTGGAATGCAGTAGGGAGGAAAGGAAAGGGGAGGGGAGGGACAGGCAGTCTGGCTGGTCCTTGCCCCTTCTATCCTGGCCACCCACTCGGTGCCCCCCCCCAACCCCCCGGCCTCAGCAGTCTCTCTCAATGGGCCTGGGAGTGAGCAAGGAGTGTGCCAATGTTAAACAAAAGTTAAGAGGGTGAGAGTAGAAAAATATTAGAACGAGTAGCTGAGCCAGCCCACCCTCTTGCTGCCCAGGAGGCGGCTGGGGGTTGTCCCCGCCCGCCGCCCAGGAGCCCATGGGTGCGCTGGGCTGAGGGTCCTGTCAGATGGTGGAGGTTTTGTCTGTCCCATCTGTGGTGAGAAAGGGAGGAAGGGAGGCAGATCAGGAGCTGGCGGGAGGCCTGAGGAAGGCACTCATGTCACCTGTCACCCCGGCGGCCCTCCCTGGAGTCTGGCCTCCCCTTGGGCCCCTCAGAACCTCAAGTTGCTTGGTTCAGAGGTGGAGGCATGGGTGGGAGGGTGGGTGCTGGGTCAGGGAAAGAGGAAATGCTCACCACCCAAGGCGTGTTCTGTCATGCTCAGACACAGAGACTCCAGGGTGGGATTGATCTCCAGGTCAGGCCCAGGGACTGGGCAGTCTGGGAGAGAGAACAGGGCGGTGAAGGACCAAGGACAGAGACAGGCTGGGGACAGATATCACGAGGCAGGTGGGGCAGTAGTGGCCAGAGTTATAGATGGAGAACAGGAAGCGGAAGCTTTCCTGGAGGCCCACAGGCTGTGGCTGTTTAGGACAGGGACACCAGGCAGCACTGCTCCCGATGCTGACCTCTTCTCTCTGCATGGGCCAACAGGTAAGATAAAGTCTTCCTATGCTCACTTGCGCTTGCTGCTCAGGACAGGATGTGGTCCAGGCAGGCTCAGCGACCCAAGGCCTGTCCTCACCACTTTGCCCAAGGACCTGTTTCCTATTTGGGCACCTGGCAAACCCAACTACCTCGGTGTTCTCCACTGCTGTCAGGTCTGAGCTGCTTTGGTGCTGAGCCTAGAAGACCCGGCTCCAATCTCCTCTCACCACCCACCAGCCATGGAGTCCTGAGATCAGGTCCCAGTAGAACCTGTCTCTCCTGAAACATCTTTGTGTGAGGACTGACACCTGGGAGAGAAGAGCATCTGTGGCTCCCTTGGGTGTTGGAATGATGCCTCATTAGGAAGAACTCATAAAGACCTCATACATTCAGAATCCCCATGGAGGGGGCGGCCCAGGGCCATTGGTCCAGGGAAGGCCACCCATATGCAGATGGGGAAGAGGCAACAAGCCCCCCTCCTCCAGGGAAGCAGGGACCCATGACCCATGGCTGGCGTGTCTCTGATCTACCCCTTGTCCATTCAGCACTCCCCCGACTGCTGAGTCAGTCTTTGGGTGGAGGCAAAAGAGCCTTCCATTTCCAGCCTCCAGAGCAGGACTGAGCTGAGATAGTCACTGGCTCCCATGACAGCAGACAGGCAGGCAGGACTCCCCTCTCCGCAATCTCCGGCCCTAACCTCTCTCACTCCTCAAGCCCTTCCAAACTGAATGATCCTAGACAGCCACAGTGACAGTGGCCACTGTGGACACACAACACTGCATAGGGAATGGGGGGTGGGGCAAGGGGGTGAGGGACTGAGAGAAGGTGGCTTAGAAAGAAAGGGTAAAGAACACACTCCCATGATGCAGGGGGTGGGAGCTGAGCAGCGGTGCCTGGGGTGGGAGCCTTACCTGGAGGGAACATGAGGATGGCCTGGGGTGATGAGTGGACCGGGAGTGAGTGGGTGCGCTGCACAGAGCTTCGGCTCTGGCTGGGCATGCTGTTGCTGCCTCCAGGGTTGGCAAACCACAGGTTCTGCAGGGTCCGTGGGAAGAGAGAAGGGGTGAGTGGGGAAGAGGCCCAGAGGTACTGGAGCTGAACACAAGCACAAGGGCAGACACACAGCACCCCCACCACCGAGTGCCAGAGTGCCTGCCTCCATGTGGCTCACCTGTCGGCCCTGGCCCCCGAGGCTGGGGCTGGTGAGGGCATGTCGAGGGGAGACGCCCCCTATGCCCGAGGGGCTCAGAAGGCCCATCCTGCCAGGCGGGAGGGCGCGAGGAGGCATGGGGAACTGCCGCTGGGTGCGCCGGGCCACCCCCATCCCCACAGAGCCAGCTATGGGGAGAGAGTTGGAGCCGAACGCCCAGCTGGAGAGAGCAGAAAGCAGGGGGGTTAGCTTAGGTGCACGGGCCCATGTGTGCCCCCCTTCCTCACCACCCCACAGGAGGATGGAAGAGAGGTGTTGTGTCACACATCTGGATGGGGGTGGGGGCCGGACTGTGTCCACTCAAAGCAGCCTCTGGGGGGAGACTCTGCGACTAGTCTGGTGCAAGAAGGCGTTTCAAAAGCTCCCCATGAAAGGTGGGGAGACAGTGTCTCTGTAGGTGCTGGGGATGGAACTCAGGGGCCCCCCTCCATCCTGATCCCTGACCCTGCCTTGTTCCTAAGATGGTAGTCACTGCTCGAGTACCACAAAAGGGCCCCCAGCCCCAAATGCCATCATCTTTTTAAGCAATCAGCTGGCAAGCACAAGGCCAGGGGGGGGTGGGGGGGGGCTTGGCCAACCCCGACCCCTACCCCTTCTGCTGCCGGTAGTTCTGCATGTCCAGTGCGGCCTTGCGAGGGAACGTTCGCAGGAGCTTCAGCACTTGCTGCTTCCAGGACAGCAGCCGTTTCTTCTGCGTCTCTGTGAAAGCCTAGAATCGGGGAAGACAAGAAAGGAGCAACGATGTGCTTCCTTTCCACCTGCCTTCCACTTGGTGCCAGGCAATGCTGGCTAGGGAGACACCCGTGCAATGGAACGGGGCAAGGCCAACCTCCCGCCTCCCCCAAGAGGATTAGGGCAGGTGGCGCAAGCGTCGTGAGCCTGCAGGCGCTGTGGGCGAGGTGTCTCTGGGAACCTGTCCAAATGTGGGGACGGAGCGCAGGCGTGAATGAGTGCTTTGAGAAGCAGCCTTGGAAGTCCACAGCGAGATGAGGGTGGAGAAGTGAGCTGGGCCGGACCATGCAGGGCCCGAGTGGGGTGAGCCAGCCTCCCCCTGCTCAGTAGCTCAGTGAAGGCCTTACCTCATGAGTCAGGCACTTTTCGATGAGCTGGAGGTAACTGGTGATGTTTTCCTCATCTGGTCGGGACACCAACAGCTGGGTGCACACTGGGAGACAGGGAAAGGACAGGGATGCGTGGTCAGAGTCTCAGCGAGGTGCTTTGTGCAGTGTCTCACCTTCTAGCCAGCAGATTCAGGTATATCCCTGCTGCTCCCACTGTCAAAGCTGGGTTTCATCCTTACCTTTGCCCATCACCCGTGTAAACTGGCTGGGGATGTCCCCGTCGGCGACAGGAGCCGGGGCTGGCTCACTGCCATCAGTGGGAGCTGGAGCTGGTGGAGGGGGGTAGCTGTCTGCAGCTGGTGGGTCCTTGGCCTCGGTGCCCTTGTCTGTGCCGGTGTGGGCCAGGGGAGGCTCAGCACCTGGCAGCAGTGGGTCCCCGTGGCCCCCATCCTTGGCAGTAGGGGTTGCGGTGGCGGTGGCCACGGTGGCCTGCAGGACGCTGTAGGCCTTGATGGGGGTGATGATGATCTGCTGCAGCTCCTGCAGAGCACTCCGCAGGTTCCCACCTTCCAGCACGTCCTGTGTGCAGAGGGCACCGTGGGTCAGGGGCATACCCCAGGGGAAGGAGGGCTCACACAGGCCGTGGGGAAGACGGGACAGCAAGGGGACTGCTGGCTCTTCCCCTCTAAGGCAGAGGACTGTGGTGTCTCAAGGGCCCATGAGGAGGATTCAGATCCACTCCACATCAAGACCCCACAGGCTGGGGAGGAAAAGCCAGAAGGCAACAATGGAAAGACAGAAGGCAACAATGGAAAGCGATCTCTCTCTCCCCACCTACCCCCACCCCCCAACCCACACACAGGAGAGGGACTAACTCCCCTACCAGAAAGATAGACCAGTCAGAAAAGTTAAAGAGCACACATGACACCGCTTAGAGAGCCATTTGATGCCAACTTGATCTCTGGCACCTGACTGCCTAGGGCTGTGGTCAGACCTGAGGAGCGAAGAGACCCAGGAGATGGTCCTGACAGCTGACAGGCCAATCTCAAGGGATAGAGAACCAGGTCCTTACCTTCTCCAGGGACTTGAGGACACTCTGCCTCTCTCGAAGCTTCTGGATGCTCAGGGCTATCTTGTGACGGGCCCCTTTGGTGACATTCTGTGGGAAAGACAGAGACAGGGAGCTGGGTGCCTTCTCCTGGGCAGCCTGGGCTGCAGGGCAGTACCTAGTACCAAACGGTGCCGGTGCCAATGCCTCCCCACCAGTCCTCCTGGCTTCACCTGCGACTCCAGGTGCTGCTCGGTCAAGGTCATCATCTCCTCATAGCTCATCTGGGAGAACAGGGCTGCATACTTGTGCAAGCGGAGGCTCTTGAGCCACGAGGGCACATCTGTGGAAATGGAGGACATGGGGTCAGGACCTTGACCCTGGTGACCAGAGGGAAGGTGGGGGGAAGGCATGGGCCACAGGGAGCCTTAAAAACTGCAGAAAACTGGGAGGGCTCACTCGGTCCTAGCTACTCTGGCAGGAAGCCCCTGCCTGAGACTCCCAGGAGGACTTGCTCACTGCTGTGACATATTCTCTGGTGCTTGGCTTCCTGGGAGGGTGGATGTGGCTCTCTCTGCTCTGTCTTGAGCACAAAAGGCAGAGGCCATCCACTCTTCTAAGACCTTTCCCAGGGAGGGGGGCAAAGGGGGGTAGCTACATTGGCTTTCTGTCCTCAGAGCTCCAGGTGTACCTTTCATGCCACTGCCATCCTCCTGGAAAGTGTTCCGGCTAGAGCCCTGTTCCTCCGTCTGCTCACTGCCAGAGGAGGCCACGCTGCTCTGGGGTGAGAGGGGGGCGTGGTCGGGCGTGGAGAAAGCAGCCCGGGCCCCAAGCTCCTCTGGACTCGGCCACTCACCAGGGGCCTGGGGGCTCGTAGGGATGAGTGACATGGAGCGCTTCAGCGGGCTGGGGTGGATTTGGCAGGGGAGACCTGGCCAGAGAGGGAGAAGGAGACATCAGCCCCACCAGCCCCACCATCCTCCAGGAAGGGACCCTGGGGCCCAAGGGGAACTGCCTCTCAGATACTGCTCATTCCTTCCCCTAACACCCAGCAGCTGGCAAACCTCTGCTCAAGGCCCCAGCAAGCCTGGCTTGGGGTGATGGTCATGGTCTCCTCAGTGTCCTGCCTGCCTTCCTGACTCCTACAGACCTGGTCCTCAGGGTGCCTTGTAAAACACACAAATCTCAACAGTCCCTGCTCAGTTCCCAGGTGCTTCCTTCATGCTGCAAACAAAAAATCCCAACTCTCCTTCACTCCTGGTCTCCCATTCACCTGACCTCTCTCATTCCCCATAGCTCAGGCTCTTGGTCCATCTGGGCCTTTGAAGCCCTCATCTCTCCTCAGCCCCCATTTTGCTCCTGGAATTCTCAAGCTAGTCTGCCTGTCTGCCTTCCTCCTTCCCCTCCCCAGCCCTCCCGGGCAGTGCTAGTGACAGAGCCTGGAGCTTTGCACATGCCAGGCAAGCACTCCACCACTGAGACATACCACCAGCCCTTACCCGCTAGCTTCTCCTAATCCCAGCAGTTGGTCCCCTCAGGTCTCATCTCAAATGTCCCCTCCCGCTCCCTCCTGCGGCCTACACTGAACCTTCAATATGAGGTCACTGCTCCAACCTCAATCACGACTGCTCTCAGCTTCCCCACAGCATCTCTGATAACCTGAAATGAGTTTCTTGTTTATTTGCTAGAAAATTTTATTTTTATTTTTATTTATTTTTTGGGGGTCCAGTTGTGGGGCCTGAACTCTGGGCCTGGGCACTGTCCCTCAGCTCTTCAGCTCAAGGCTAGCGCTCTACCACTTGAGCCATAGCGCCACTTCTGGCTTTTTTTTCTTTTTGCTTATGTGGTGCCGGGGAATCGAACCCAGGGCCTCATGCATGCAAGGCAAGCGTTCTACCACTGAGCCACCTTCCCAGCCCAAGGGTTTGAACCATGATCCTCAGATCTCAGCCTCCTGAGTAGCTAATGTTACAGGTGTGAGCCACCAGCATCCAGCTTGTGCCTCCCTTCATACTACTCACTTCACTGAACTGCTCTCGTTTGACCTTATAGTTGTGATTCCACTGAACTCAAAGCTGTAAAAGCAACAGTTGGGCACCACTGTGTCCCCAGCATCAGGTGTGGCTCAGAGGTGACCAGTCAAAGAGTTGCCTGAACACCCAGGGAAAGGAACCGGGTGGCACCATGGTCACCAGTGTCCAGAAGGCAGCTTACCAGGCAGAGTTCCAGCTGGTCACATAGTGCATAGAACTCTTCCAGAGACTTGTCAAAGCGCTGTATGGGTCCGTCGCTGCTCTCTCTATAACCAGGGAGAAAAGGGTGATCAAAAGGATGTCCAATCTCTGGGACACCAGTATCCACCAATCAAGTGTCTGTCAGTAAATCATGCCCAGGCCATCTAGGCAGAACTTGTCAACAGGAGGGGTGGGCATGGTGGGGAGGGGAAGGGGTTTCTGAGGGTGGGGTGAGTGAGCATAATCTAATATAGTCTTCTCCCAAAATTTGTCATTTGTAGAGTTCGCTCTCTCTGGGCCAATTACAACATTCCACTCAGAACCCTGGGGCCTCATTCTGGAGTTACTTCCATGTACCCCACCTCCATCCCTGCAAAGCCCCCTGAACCACTGAGCCCATCCTGTGGCTTAAGGAAGCCTCTGTGCTCCCATCTGTCCTTCCCTTTCTTCATGGTTCTTCCCTGGCTGCCTCCTTGGGTTCCCACCTCTTGATTTTAAGCCCCTATGTCATAGTGAGAGGCATACTAAATGGTGGATGGGGTCTGTACTTACTGTCCATTGTCAATGTTGGTGTTCTGAATCAAGTTCTGGGCTGCAACCTTCATCAAGGTCTGTTAAAAAAAAAAGACAAAAACAAACAATGGGGATAGAGAAAGAAATATTAGGAAGAGCTATGTTCTTCCCTGAGACCCAGCTAACTAACAGGCCTTCTCTTCATCTGGCATCTCTCCTCTAGACAGTTGTAGAATAATGCCAGTGTTCCCACTGCTCTGATGATTCCCAACAGTATTTTCCCAGGACACCCTGGTTTCTCACCAATAACCTCATGACATGGCCCGCATCCACCAATCACAGGCAGAGCAGAATCTCTGTACAATCTGAGGGCTGAACCAGAGCCCAATATCTCCCTTAAAATATCCTCTCCCTCTCCCTGTCTCCCCTTTCCTCTCTCTTTTGGTCGGTTGTGGGGCTTGAACTCTGGGCCTGGGCGCTGTCCCTCAGCTCTTCAACTCAAGGGGAGCACTCTACCACTTGAGCTACAGCACCACTTCCGGTTTTCTGAGTGGTTTACTGGAGATAAGAGTCTCACGGACTTTCCTTCCCCAGGCTGGCTTTGAACCGCAATCCTCAGATCTCAGCCTCCTGAGTAGCTGGGATAACAGGTGTGAGCCACCAGCGCCCTGCTTCTCCCTTAAAATCTCTTTACCCTTCAGAGTTGCAGTCAATCAGTCCCAATCCCAGCCTCCATATCTGCGTCAATCCCCCTTTCTGAGGTTGGGCTTCAGTCTCACAAAAAATGAGCAAGTTGCCCGACGCTGGTGGTTTGCTTTCTGTAATGTCAGCTCCTCTGGAGGCTGAGATGTGAGGATTACAGTTCAAAGCCAGCCAATTAGGGAAGAGCCAGAAATGGAGGTGTGACTCAAGGGGTAGCGTGCTCGCCTTGAGGGAAAAAGATCAGCGACAGCCCTCAGGCTCTGAGTTCAAGTTCGAGAACCGACACAAACAAGTCTTACCCGCTTCCCTGCCCACGATTTCTCCCTAAATAGCTCCGCGGCACCGCCCCCTTGGACTCGGACAAGCCGAACACCGCTGGCTCCTAGCAGCTCCCAATCAATCAATCAATCAATCAATCAGTCACCTGTAGACTCTCCTTCAGCTGCGGGATGAGCATCTTATACCGCTGCACAGGATCGAAGTCCTGCTGCTGTTGCTGCAGGAGCCCGCTCTGGGCCGGTCCCACCAGTTGCGTTGGCGGCTGCGGCTGCTGGGGCCCCGGGCCACCAGCTGAACCTGGGCCCGCCACCCCTGCACCTGAGGAAGCCGCAGAAGCTTGCTGCTGGGGAGCAGCCATGTTTGCTGTAGAGATTTCCGGAAGTACGTCAGGAGCTAGTGCGTCTCCCGCGGTTCATTCGAGTCTCGTTCCGTAGTTACCCCCGCCTTCCAGACAGTTTAGCCAATCAGAGGAGCGACGCTGCTCCGCCTTCATTACTATCCAATTGGATGCCAAGACTGGAAAAATCTGATCACCAATTACAAGGGGTTTTCCTTGGTAGCTCCGCCCTCTAATCCAACAGCTAGCCAATGAGCGGGAGGCTTTAATCCGGACTCTATTTCCCGAAGGATTCGCGGCCTGAGGAGATCCGTCTCGGCCCTCAGAGTCTCGGCGGCGGTTGGTGACGCCAGAGCTGTGAGTCCGTGTGTCCGAGGCGCCGCCTGCGGGCTTACCGGGACGTAAACTCTTCTCTTCTGCATACTCTTCCCAGCCTTCCCCGCGGAGAGCGGCGCCCACGGGAGCCTCGGCTCAGGCCCGGAGGCCACCTTAGCCGGCACGCCCCTCGGCGTCCGCCCTCGGCGCAGCCAGGCCGCTGTCGCCGCGTCGCCATGGCGCCCACCATCCAGACGCAGGCCCAGCGGGAGGACGGCCACAGGTAGGCGCCACTCCACTCGACTTTCCAGTTTCCTTCTGGGCTTCTGCAAGGCCGGTGGTGGTGGTGCATGGGTATGACGTCACTGCAGGTCTTCCCGTGACGTCAGGGAGCCCCCCCCGGACTCGTGGGGGAGCCCGCCTGTGCCCCTATACCTCCCCGCTGTCGAGTTGGGAGACTCCCCCGAAGGGGATTGCTTACTTCGATCCCGCCAATGGGAGCGTTTTCCAGAAAACGACTCTAAATACTGTGGGGGTTTCATTAAAGCACTGGGGCGACTTCCCACCCCGCTAAAAGGGGACGGATTGCGTGGCTTCCTTCACTCGTTAAAGCACTCAGAGTTGGGACACTTAGCTCCGTCCATTAAAGCACCTAGAACACCTTCACCAAAGAAAGATACTAACGCTTGTCACTTGGTGCCTTTTGGAAGCTTGGTCCTGTTTTTTTTTTTTTTTTTTGCCGGTCTTGGGGCTTGAACTCTGGGCCTGAGCGCTGTCCTTTGAGCCTCTGTGTGTTCAAAGCTAGCGCTCTACCACTTGGAGCCACAGTGCCACTTCCAGCTTTTTCTGAGTAGTTTATTGGAGATAAAGAGTCTCACTGACTTTCCTGCCTGGGCTGGCTTCCAATGGTGATCCTCAGATCTCACCCTCCTGAGTTGCTAGGATGACAGGTGTGTCACTGGCTTCTGGCTCTCACTGTCTCTTTTTTCCCCCACCAGGCCCAATTCCCACCGCACTCTGCCTGAGAGGTGAGTCTCCAAGGTACTTCCTAGGAGTACGATGGGGTATGACGGTGGCAGCAGTGGTGGGCACAGAAGCCTTTTCCCCTCCCTTCTATGAGAAGCCTAAGCTGGCTTCAAACCAACTTCCTCAGTGCTGGAATTACAGGCATGCACTACTACACCTGGCAGAGGGGGTTGGTGGGGTCTAGCAGTTTTTTTTTTGTCGGCTGTGGGGCCTGAACTGTGGGCCTGGGCACTGTCCCTCAGCTCTTCAGCTCAAGGCTACCACTCTACCACTTGAGCCACAGCGCCACTTCTGGCTTTTTCTGCTTATGTGGTGC